AAGAATACACAACTCAATTATTCATGGAATATTCCAAGGCCCTCCATATTTTAAAACATTTATGAGCTTAATGTTTGTTTTATTTCCCGTTTTTCTTTGTTTTAATCCAAAAGATTAAAAATTTTATAAAAATATAATTTTTTATTTAAAATGAAAATAAGTATAAACATTAACCTTTTCTTTTTTGTATTCGTTTAGTGTTCACGCATCTACAACTTTTTACTTTCTTTTAAGGGTTGAATTATAATATAAGATTGAAACATTGAAAAAGAGTTACGATTATTGTAATCGAACTTGAAACTCATACAATAATCGCACTCATAATTATTTTCATTAAATGTGTTTCGTTTTATAAAGATCTTACCATATTTGAGTAGTTGGACAAAAAGAATTGTCGATATATTTTCTTTTTCTGTAGACAGTCAACTAATCTCCTCAGTAATATATCAATTGTTAATGGATTCATTGTGGTTATAGACTAAATAAGAGATGCGCTGTTCAGCATTGTATTACTACTATACGGATTTTGTTTTATGAAAATAAAATTTTCATCTAAAATTTTCTTCGCAGTTTCTTTTCGAAAAATACAAAATCCCAGGTTGTGACATTAATAGTTTGCAAAATTCCGATAAAATGTTGCTTTTATATTTTTTAAACAAAAAGCATTATTTAGAGGGATTGTTCAGTCAAAATATAAGACTTACATATATGATGCATACGTAAGATCTAGCATGTTCGTTATTTTCTGAATGAACAAACTTGAGTAATTATTACTGGGGACTTTCAGAAATGATATTTCTCGGCATAGTAAAACAGAATTCCTACAAGGTTATGTTTGCAATTAAACGATATTCATCACCAATTCACGTTACACTGGAGGTCAGCGGATATTATCAATTTATGATTTAAACATTTTTCCGACCATATGGCTATAATTCATTCATGATTCGTGTCTAAAGGACCAATTAGCAACTTTACAATTCATTACTATTTACTAGGATTTATGAAGTCATTTCATTTACAAATACCCGAAGAGAAAATACTTGAAAATGGGTGATATTTTGATGAAAATAATGCACAATAATGATACTGAAATACTTTAAGAAGCATCATAAAGATATGCATATTAAATTTAAGAAAAGGCAAATCTGTTCATATCTTTTTATCTTTATTTGTATAATACAAAAAACTTAAAATATCATCTTTATAGTTTTTGTTGTTAGTTAATGCAAAAATAAGTTCGTGCAAGCCTTCCTCGTCATTTAAGTGTTAAATAACTATATTTTTCTTAATTTCATAAAAGGTAGTTTCATCTCGATATAAAGGAATATATTTTTCAAGATCGTCTTATAGAATGTTTTTGTAGGAGTGAGTTCGATTCTTACGTAATGTCCAACAAATGAAACGTCTTTTGCTATACTTAGCTAAGCTTAATAAATAAGTATAACCAAATATGTAATACAAGATATCTTCACAGATGCTTCAATTTTGTGTGTTATCGATTGAGATTAAAAACCGTCATAGAATTTTCGAGTATGTTGTTTCGCATATAAAAATATTTACTTTCTTCACCAGGGAAGGAAATAATAAGATACCACAGGAAGAATGCAGCGCCCTCTACATTGGAACAGAGATTGAGTGAACAAAGGATGCAAAATATAAACAAGAATCTTTTGTTTGTTTAAACAAATGTTTTCTTTATTTTCGATTTAATATGTACAGTAAGCAGTGCGTTAATTATAGACAGTAAGCAATCTAAGTGCAAAGCCGTCACTTTGCTAAATTGAACACAATAGAACAGACTTTCATCCTACTGAAACAATTTATTGATTATGGTATTGTCATAACTAAAAATATTTAAATTGCGGAACGTACAGAAATTGTTTCCGGCTTTAAAAAAGAAACTGCTTTGATTTTCAATAGAAATGATAAATGGAAGCTTGGCTTATGAAATTACAGAAATAAGTACAATGTTTTGCCAAAGAAATTTCATGAAACGTAAAGAATAGGCAGGTTTATTGTCAGGATGAAACTACAATATTTATGTATATGTTTATATATCCGTATTAAATTCGCTTACAAGTTGATGCCAACACCGCACAACAGATTCTTGAAATTTTCAGAATTGCTGACCTCGGATTTGTGCTTTCATTTTTGTTATCTTTTCATTCCCTGCCGATAATCTATTGTCTCATTAAAAAACACTTCTTTTTTTCTTTTTTCTTTTTTTTAAACATTTCACCCCAAACAAGGCGGGAAGCCACTAGGACGCAAGAGGTTACAGAAGATTTAGAGCAAGATCAGATAGGAGTGATAGAAGAACGGATGAAGAGAAGGGAAGTGGATAGATCAAGGCAACTGGAGATGTCGATTGACATTACATTTGAATAGATGGAGATTATAGCTCTCAGGGAAACTGGAATAGGGAAGGGAGTTCCACAGGCAAGAGGTGCGAGACATGAAGCTATTGGAGTAGAAGAGACGGCTACATTTAGGAGTTTCGACAGTGAAGGGGTGAGAGCGGGATTCCATCCTCGTAGGGCGCTTGAACTCATGACGTCTGGGAACCAGCGAATGCAGCTCCTCGGAGCAATTTCCATGAAAGTATTTATAGAACAGACAGAGGGAGGCGACGGCGCGTCTGTGAGAAAGTGACTCTAGACGAGATGCCAAAGCAGGGCCAACTACATTGCATATCCGCCTCTAGAGCCTATCAAGAACCCCGAGGCAAACAGAAGGGACACCAGACCATATACGGCAGCAATAACCCGTGCAAGAGCGAATTGTTGATTTGTAGATCTGGAGGATCGGTTCCGATGTTTATTAAAATTATAGGATTAATTATTCTCCTTTCCTCTTTGGTACCTCGTCTTTACGATTTTAAGCGCAGCACTAGATTGGTAGCCTAGTTTCATCATCTTACATTTATTTAAAAAAAAAAATTCTCACAAGAAATGAATCTCCTATAAATGCAAAGCAAACTTCATGGTAAAAATATATTTTTTACACAAATTATATTTGTTCATTCAAGCGAATCTTATTTTAAACAATTTTTTAAAGATATATTATTTCATCAGTAAACACGAAACAAATACATTTATTATTAAACTAAAAATCTAGTCATTTATTTCATGAACAAAATGTAGAAAATATAATTTCAGAAATGAAACTTGAAATTTGTTGCATCTTCAAAATATTCTATTTAAATGTCAACGTTGTTTCCTTTCATTTAAGCTTCATCCTATGCTTAAAACTAAATGCTAAGGTCGTTAGAACATACAGCACAAAATGTGGGCTTGTTTGTACGACTAAGCAATTTAATTATAAAAGCTATCGACAAAACAATCACTTATTTGTTATGATTACTGAATTGGAACTGAATAAAACACACAGAGAGACAAGCAAATTTAATATATCTTTTGTTCAGGGATTCAATCAGAGGTCTACACATACAATTTTGGTTTCTCTTTTTATATCTTGAAATAGTCTTCATCTTTCAATAGGTGTATGTTAATAAGTACTTGCTTATTCGCTTAAACGATGGCAAAGATAGCAAAATGAAAAAAAAATCATATATTTAAAAGTGAATTGTTTCTTGAACATATTTTTAGAGTTTGATATTCTTGATTTTAAAATATTTCAATGGTTGCCTATGAAGGATGAAAGTAATATTGATCGTGTGGTCAGATTTATATGAAATTTAGCAGAATCTGATTCAAGGCGACTGGGTTGAGCGGAGGATTGGTGAAATAGAGTCGGTCAGAAATTTTAACTCGGCACGATGATAACATTTTCCGAGCCGATACTATTTTTTTTACTTGTTTAGCAATATATATATATATATATATATATATATATATATATAGAGAGAGAGAGAGAGAGAGAGATAGATAGATAGATAGATAGATAATATTAGTGGTAAATATACACATACATATGCAAAATATATAAATATATATACATACATGCATACACATACATATATATTTTTTTTAATAGAAAAATTCCAAGAGGATAGAATCCAGGTAGAACTCAATTATTGTCACCACAAAATGTATCCTTTCCGGTTACATCTTTAATGTATTAGACATCAGACAACATTCATATTTCTCTCACTTAAACCGTCTTTGACTCACCTCTCTAAAACTTCTCTCTGTTAAGTTTTAATCCCCCACCTTCTCTCTTCTGTTACCCCTCTCTTTAGCTCTAACATTCGTCCCACACTCTCATACTTACACTCTCTCTAAATTCTATTTTTTATTTCCGGAGTTGTTTTTTCTGTTTTCTTTTTTAATTTGTAGGTCTGATGAATTAGGTCGTATTTACGATTCCAATGGAATAAATTATGACCATGGAATATTAGTGTTTCAGCCTTTTTATTATATATATATATATATATATATATATATATATATATATATATATATATATATATATATGCCATCGTAACACAACTAGTAAAATATTGTTATTGTGTGGGTTGGATTCACAATGATGACTAGAGAAACCGAAATCTGTCCCAACAAATGTGACACAAAAAATCTTGTTGCAGACAATTTGCATCTTTTTGTGCTTATCATATTTCCCAGTTCCGATGCTTTATTCCATCAAGATAACACAATTACCATTTTGTTTTATAGACATAATACTGGTGCTAGGAAAATTCAACTAATTTCTAATTATTATTCCACCGACCTCGCATTCTTGAAGTTTTACCCAAGCAACACAATTCAATTATAAGCACCTCTAGAATCGGCTTGGATATTTTGATTGATTGACTGATTTTTTTTTTTACGGCTTATCACCCGTTTGCAGGTTATTTAAGCCAGAAAATATTTTTATAAGATAATAATTATTTAGTGATAAGCATCTTACTCATATCTGGGAAGAGAAGCGTTGGATTACTACCTTTCCCAAGGGTATTTGCGCATAAATGAAACTCGACTGGAATTGGAACTCGGTTCTCTGAGTCATCCATTACATCACCAACACATCTAAGTTTACAACACCTGGTATTCCCAAGCTGTCACCCATCTAGCTACTGACCAAATCCGACGTTTCTTAACTTCGGTGATCGTACGGGAACCGGTGTTTCAATATGATATAACAGTAAGCCGGATAATTTGAGCTACGCTGTGACACAAGCCAGCTCGGAAACAGCAATCCGCGTTGCGTATCCGCCGTTATTCACAAGTGAAAGGATAAGATATCGTATTAGCTCGCTGTCTTTACATCTCTAGCACTTAAGTTTATATTTGGTTGCATGGATGGAATCTTATCCTGTCTGTTTCCATTTTACTCTTTAATATTTTTTTTCTTTTTCCATAACCATCGTCCGAAAGCCAAGGTATTTATTCCCCCCTCCTCTCTTTCACTCTCAGTTTTTTTTCTCTTTCTTCTCTCTGTGAATTTCTTTTTCATATTATCCATATAATACACACAGGCATACATACACAAGCATATTTTTGCACACTTCTACGAGGAAGTCATTATTTGACTTCTAATACTGTAACTCATAATTTCGAATCTTTAAAACTGCTAATCAAAAATTAATTTTAAAAAGACATAAATTCTAATTTGGAAAAATCCCAATTTTGTGACACGTTTGTTCCTCGTAAATTCAAGAGATGGTTTTCATTAAAATAATTATTTTCCAACCAAAAAAGCGAGAGAAAAACGAAAGCACGTCATGGAATGAAAACTGATATCACATCAACCCATAAATACTAACAACGAGAGAAAAGACGAAAAAAAAACTCTCAGAAAAAGGCGGCCGATAATTTTATTTTAACTATCACATTTGGCTGCACTATATTTAAGTATGAGGACGTTGTGTGACGATAAAGTTTGAGGGGCAAATAACTCGTGTGTAAAGTGCAGTTGAATTACAAAAATCATTTGAATCATAAAAAATAACAGCTCAAATATTTTTGAAATCCAAAATTGTATACAAATTAAACAAAAGGGAAGACAGCGAGGAAACCAAGAACGACGCTTCGGTTCGACGAAGATTTATTATCATTCCCATAGGGAGAAAAGCTTGATATTTAGAATCGTTTAAATTATAATAATAAAAAGATATATGCGTTTGAAGGTGAAAGTGATTCACATAGACAGTGAGTAATCATCTGGATCTTGTTAAGCAGACAAAGAAAATCTATATAAAACCAAATATGTGAAAAACAAAAAGGAAAATTCTTCAGAATTTTGAAATACGAACGTGTAATCCGGGCCCTACCTGGATTCAAGATACAGTTATCATGAACGAAAACTTCATTTTAGATATTTCATGCAGTTATTTTAGAGGACTACAAAGCGAAAATAAAAACTAGATTTTATTTTGAGCTCTACGAATGTGCAACATCAATGTAACGGTTGAACCAGTGTTTATTGGAGCACTTGAAAAAGGAAAGCAGAGAGAGAGAGAGAGAGAGAGTAAAGAGAGAAATCAAAAGAAAAATACAAATTAATACATTCAAACAATGACGAAGGAAGGGAAATTATTATGAAGAAATAAGGAAAGAATATTTGCGAAATAAAAGAGAAGTGCAGTAGAACACAAAATGGAAGGAAGAAAAGAATGAATTGCTTAAGGTAAAAAGAAAAAAATAACAGAATAGAAAAAATGAAGTTTGCAAAAATGAGGAAAGACGAATGAAAAGTGAAACGAAAAAAATAAAAACAAGTAAAAATGAAAGTTTGGAAGAAGTTGAAGGATGACAGGTGAAAGAAAAAGAAAAAGAAAAAAAAGAAAATGAAAATAAGGAATGTAAAAAAGATTAGAAAGCAAAAAAAAGGAACCAAATGAGAAGCGAACGGAAAATAAAGCAAGAGAAAAGGAAAGGAAGCGAGAAAGAAAGAAAAGAATGAAAAGGAAAAGAAATAAACGATAAAGGCAAAGGAAAGAAAAGGAAAAACGAAAAAAAGAAAGCAAATCGAAAGGAAGAGGAAAATAAACGAACGAGTGAAAAATAAAATGAAACTAATCAACCAAGAAAAGACAAAAGCCACAGATATTAACACAAAAATCATGAAAAACATTACACAAAAGCACAAAAAAAGAAAACGAAAAAAAATTGACAGATGATTAAAAACAAAAATCAAATTCAACCACAAAATATAGAAAAAAAACATCCAGCACAACAACAACAACAACAAAAAAAAAACCGTTGAAAGGAGAAAAAGAGGATCTCAGGGTGGCAGGTCGGGATTCCTTTCCATTTAGTGAAACGACAAGCTTATCAGTTACGGACAAATATATTCTACTTAAGAATTGGCCTATTGCCAGAAGAAAACAAAGCAACCACCGCCATGCCCTCTTCATCTACTTTCTTAAGAAGCGCAATGAAACAAGTGGGTTTAGTCAAACGTTTCTCTCACGGCTTTCCACTCAAATGTTTTCTTCTTATTTTGATGAAATGCTGGTCTTACTTAAAGCTCAATAACATTTTATAATTCTCACTATATTAGCATGTGTTGAGGCAATAGAAACGTGGCTCTACAGAAGAATGCTGAGAATACCATAGGACAATTGTGTAAGCAACGAGGAAGTTTTACGGAAAATAGAAGCAAAAAGAACAATTATACTTAAAATCAGAACGAGGCAGTTGAAATATCTGGAAAAGGAAGCTCAAGAAATTTAACACTTGCTGGACATGCTGAAGGCAAGAGGGAGGATAGCGAGAGACACACTTAACGACCTTCTTTAAATAGCAGAATAGGGAATAATAAAAAAGATAAACATTGCTAAGACCTACAAAGATAAAAAAGTTATGGAGAGCCATTTCGTTTCGTTTTTAGGATTGGGCTTCTACTTCTTTCTCGAGTATTTTTAGTTCTCTTTCACTCCCAGTCGCTCAATGCGTCTTTGTGGCATCATTGCCTTGTTTGAGTTGATTTAAAAAGCAAATCCATATTTTCTTTTATACTTCCTATCATTGTTAACGTGTTCAGTTAGTAAGTTATTCTTCTTGATTTTGATTTATTCTGCAAACCATGACTTGTGATGAAATTGGCATAAAGCGACAACTATCAACTGTTCTTTTTTCTATGAGGAAGAGTTATAAAAATGTGATATTGTAGATCCTTTAACAGATGCCCTTGTGCCCAACAAGTTAACCTATGTATAAAATCAGCGCTTACTATGCAAGTTGCTGCGGCTATCACTGAATATAGAATGATAATATAGAATTATCTAAATAAACTCCAGTATTATTGGAATAATAAATTTATAAAATAAACTAACAATAGTATGAAAGTTTATGGGTTGTTGAGTGTATATTTAGAAGATACACTTGTCACCCTAAAATATTTGATCATGGGGAGACCAGATATTGTCAGGGGAACCGTGATAATAAGGAGGATTAATACGAAAACCTGTCTATCATTAATATGTTTATCAGTATCACCACAAAGTAGCGGCCCAATTAGTGGCAGAAGGCGTCCATAATTTTTATAAGTATTTAACAACAATTTGATTGATTTGTTTTATGGCTTATCAACCTTTGTGGGTTACTCAAAACCGTAATATATTTTGAATTTTAAGAATAATTATTTCTTTGCAAGTGAATATTACACAAACAATTTTCTTGGAGAAATGATTTCATCAGATGCAAGTTATTTATCCATAGTTAGGGGGATGATTTCATACCTTTCCCAAAAGTATTTGCGCATAAGTAAATATAACAAGACCGACTTGAATTTATGCTTTGCCTTCTGATTTCTCATTCCCTGCAGCTACCAATTACAACACTCACATTTAGTGGCAAAGCTCTGGTCTATTATACACTTTGTAGAAAAATGGGTAGATCAGCAGATACCACTTAAGTTCAGTTTCTTTACTTGTTTCTTTCATACTATTGTTATTATAGTTTTAATCTTTATTTTATGCTACAGTGTTTTTGCGATAATGATATCTCACAAATATTGTAAATGTTCACTCTTTTTTTAAAAAAATAAACTGACATCCTCATGAAGTAGGAGTAGATAAACTATTTTAAATATTTTCTTTCTTGCACGAACATAAAAACGTATGAATGTAAGTGTTAGAACGATCTGATTTTTAAAAAAATGTATTTGTAATAATTACAAAGTTACTTCTAAAGTAAAGATTTTATGAAAAACAGACGGAACTGTAGATATGATAATAACAAAAAAATATTAATATTTCCATAATTGTAAAGAAAAGAATTGCGTGTCTAAAAATGAATGATACAAAAAAATCAATAGTTAACTGTATATCATTTTATAGCTATAACTGTTTCTATTCTTTGTGGCTAAACTTTTACTAAATTAGCAGAAAACATCTACAAGGATATCTGGCCACATTGAAGAGATACATGCTTGTTGCGTCAGGTCTCTTCTTTATCAGTGAAGAAATTAACCTTTATTCTTATATTTGCATTGATATTATATAATAGCTGAGCACTTGTTGCTTTATTTCTGCTTTCTTGTTTCTTACTGTTGTTTAGCTTTTTCAATAGAAAAATAATATTAAACAATATTCAAGAATTTTGGATAGCAATGAAGCTGCTGCTGATAAATTTAAAATCGAAAGAGCTGAAAGTTAACAAAATCAATAAAGGAAAGATTGATATATATTATCAAACGATCTATATTAATATGTAAAATATTAATTAACTAGGGAAAATAGGATATTGTGCCAATGAAATATATTCTTATGGCTTATATATTTACGATTTATTTATACATGGACATTTTGTTGGATTTTGTAAAATATATGCTGACATTTCCCCGGAAGAATTATTATCAATATTTGTTATAAGGCCAGGTATTATAAACTGACCGCACCTTTTTTTCATTTTATTGTGTATATAAATACAAATATACTAAACATTTTATCAGTATCAGTTGTTCAATACCAAATTTATTGTGAAATAGTGACTTGTATAGCATTTGATACAAGCTAGTCTGTTCAGGTTCTTTTATGTATTGTGTACTCAAAGAAGGTGAACTATCATGGCGTTCCACAATTTCTTATTTCTTATAGCTCTAAGCATCGTTTGAAAATTTACAATCAGTCTTTGTTTTCGCTCTGCCATCCATTCCTCACTGACGCTGATACATACAATAGTCCCTG